ATCAAACAGATCACTGTACCATTGTACCACCACAGCACTTTTACCTTCAAAAACTTGTTGGTTCATAAGAAAAATTATTTGTTAATACATCTAAATATAATATAATAATATATAATAAATATACATTTTAAAAATGGATTTGTGTATTTATTTTTATTTTTAAATATATTAAACTGTATGTATATTTTACAAAATAAGACTATTATAGTATTTGGTGCATAAGAAACAGTACATGTTAATACATCATATTAATACATTTATTTTTTATTTTAATATAGTTATGTATTTACTTTTAATTTTAAATAATTTTTAATACATATCATTATACATAATATATTATTACTGATACGTTTATATTACTGATATTTAAATCATATTGTATGTATATATTTTATAATATAAAAACAATATATAAAAACATTATTTTATAAAAAATTTTAATATAGTTATGTATTTTATTTTTAAATTAAATATTTTACATATATAGGTAGATTATTACTACTTTGAGTGAGTTATTTTATATTATCGATATTCAATATGTTGTATATATTTTTATAAAAATTATTGTATATTTTTATTAAATAGGTTGAATCTAAAAAAAAATTTGATTTTCCATAAAATTTTTAAATCATATATTACCATTAACATGTAAGTCACACTTCCAAACTTTTGGTATCACAAAAAAGCCCTGGATGTACTCAAAAGGATTTCAGAATTTTAGTTTAGTGGACCAATAAATCTCTAAATTACAAGAATCAAACTCTGCCCAATTATATTATATTAAAACAAAATTATAAAGAATTACATAAAACATTTTAAGTATGTACAATCTTTCATTGTGCCTAAATAAGACTAGAAACTTTTGTTTTGTTTTTCATTTAATCAAAACTGCAGCACTGTGTTCAGAATATTTCACTTCAACATGCATGAAAAATTGTAAAATATATATGGTACACATATGTACATAACAAGGACAATTCCAACAACTATCAGTCCAACTTGGAGTGAGGTTATTTCCCATTAAAGACATACACTTAACGCATTTTTTTCCACAATGTCCTTTTTTTCCTTTAGCCTATAAGATCATCCTATTCTAAATGACTTTTGTTTTGTTCAATCTATCTCAGGGAAACTGCATTCAATTTGACTTGCATGAACTAATTCCATAATAAATTAATTGTGCATTATGTTGGAATTATGGATCATTAAGTCCATCAAGACAGAAACCTGGTACAACTTTAAAGTGATTATCAGTAAAAGGCATTCTTATTAATCTATACAAATCAAAATAACTACAAATATTTGAGTGAGTGTTAGAAGAACAAGAATAGAATGAGAAAACACACACACACAGATTTATTATAACAGGTCATTTGTATAGTCCTGGCAGCGTACGAAAAAACGAAATCTTAGAAAAAGTGCCAGTGAAGCTAAAAATTCTCCATTCTGCTCATTTCAGATCAACAATCCTCTAAATGGGTTTGGCTTAATGGCTACAGTACCAGCAGATGATATAACAGAAAAGCCAGGGTCAACACTTTACCCAGGAGTCATTTGTGAGATATCGGTTAACCTTGATATGCTATTTAAAAGTGTAGCTGACAATCTCTTTGAAAAAATTAACCCAAAATGTCTTTTAGTGCATTCTGACAGGCCTATATACATTTTGGACTGTGTTAATGCAGCATTACAAGCTGTAGATAACAACAGAAAATGAAAGAAAATTCAAGTTACATACATTGAGCAACAACAGTACATCTTAGTCCCTTGATTACATGCTGCCTTATTTTTTAAAAGTGTCTGATAAAATGACCATGTGTTTGGATAAACATCTTAGTACAGATAAAAGCATTCAAACAGTAGAATTGGATACTCTGCTCCCTGCAGTCTTTCTAGTTACATGTAATAGCACCCTATTACATCCAGGTGGCAGTATAGTATGCTTAAAATAAAGGGCAGTGCTCTCTTGCTGTTTGAAAAGTATTAAAGGCATTACTGTTAATTAATTACCCCAGGTCAGATGATACAGATACAAAGCTTTTAACATCTCCTGACAGATGCCTGAATAACGCTATGTGACCAGTGGGCTCAGCGACATGGAGTGAGGTTAACCTAAAAGAGGCACTCATGTGATTCATAAGACGGAATCCTCATCTCTTCTAATTGTTTATGATGGATTGTGTATGTTAATGTGTTGATAACCAATAAGAGAAACAAATAGTGTTACAACGCATTGTGAGATCAACCATAACAGTCAGGTAATCGTGAAAGTGACTGAATGGGAGGGTACAGAGGCACTAGGGCTGTATTTCTGTAAATTGAGCAGAGAACTATGGAAGCCAATTTCTGCCACATAAGAAAAAAAATAATGCTTTGGTAAATCATATTTATTACATAAATAGTCAATAAATAGTATGACATAATTATCATATAAAGAGTCAAAATTTTGAGATACAAAGTCATAATGAGATAAAAAAAAAAGTCTTTCATGAGAAATTGACATGTCAAAATTGTAAATAATTGTCATAATAATGACAGTAAAAATAATGATCGAAGTTATCGTTACGAAAGAAAAGGTAAAATTATGGAAAAAAACTAAATTATTATTTTTTTCTTATTTTTGACTTCATAAGTTCTGATTTCTGTCATAATTAGTTTGATAGAGGTTTTATTAATTTCATTTTTTTTTGGTACATTTTTACTTTTATCTTATGAATTTTTATGACATACTAAGTCGTAATTTGAAGATCAATTTTTTTTTAAGAAATTTATTTTCTTATTTTCAAATTTTTGTCACAGGTTCCACTTGTGTACTTTTTATTTCATAATTCAAATACTTATGGCATAATTATGACTTTTTTGTTCTATTTTCTACTTTTTAATCTCATAATTATGTCATACTTTTATGTCATATTTTTGATGTTTTATGGCCAAAGGCAATGGCAATTTAATTTATATAACTATTTACTACAACCAGAGTTGTAGTAAATAGTGCTATATCATAGTCATCTCATAGTCACTAAACCAGAGTTTATCTCATAATGACTTAGTATCTAATAATATTGACATTTTATGTAACAATTATTTAACTTTTTTTTTTTCTATTATGTGGCGGAAACGGGATTCCATAAAGAATACAACAGCAGGGTTTATCTCACGAGTTGTAAAAGTTAGATAATAACTAATAAAAACAGAAAAAGGCAGGGCAAAAAAGTCTAAGACTACTTAGAGCCTTAATAATTCATGGCCATCTTAACTCAATCTAAAGCTGAATTTAAAACATTGTGATCACAGGGAAAGGAAATGGTATAATTTAGGACAGTCAATACATAGATTTCTCAAGACTCTGGACCGGGCACAATGGTCCTGATTAAAATTAATCATACATAATGACCTCACACAGTATGCTGTTTGCAGTTTCTAAGTTTGTTGTACACAAGAAAACAACGATAGGACCAAACAAAACGACAACTATGAGGTTCCATAGCCCAAACTGAACGCAATGTGCCAATACAATACAGTTTATATATAGCAAAAAGTTTGCATGCTAACAAGGCAGTCTTAGTGTATCAGTCCTTAACAAGCTGCTATTTTCCTTTGTACATTACTGTACACCCACACGAGAAGCACATATGCACACGTTGATTATAAACGTATATATCTGGTTAAAAATGAGGTAAGATGAGCAAGGGTCAGATAAGGGGGATGGCCACCTGAAAACTAAAAAACCTGCTCTAAAATAGCAAGGTAGAAGATCCTACAGAACATTAAAGAATCATGTTTCTCTCAAACACACACACACTTACTAATACATATATATATATATATATATATATAAAAGAATATATAAAGTATTGCATAGAATCATGTTTCTCTCAAACACACACACACTTACTAATACATATATATATATATATATATATATATAAGAATATATAAAGTATTGCATCATCGCAACTTCGAGATGCAGCCTGCATGTGTGTGTGTGTGTGTGTGTGTGTGTGTGAATTATTGTGCACACGTACACATACACAGTCACGGTTCAGGCAATGTCCTTATTGCAGCGTGTGTCTGTGGGGATACATTTAATGACAGGAAGTGCTTTGCAGTCCTACAGCCAGTGGAGGAGCAGAAGGAAGTTGAAGGAAGGAGCAGGATGCAAATGAGAGCATGGTTTGGAGTCCAGCCCCCATAGTCTATGGCATAGTGAACGACAAACTCCTTACGTCTCTCTCTGTACAGTGGGGAAAATATTTATTTGATCCCCTGCTGATTTTGTAAGTTTGCCCACTTACAAAGAAATGAAAGGTCTGTCATTTTTATGGTTTATGGTTTATTTTAACGTATAGAGACAGAATACCAACCAAAAAATCCAGAAAAAACACATTATATAAAGGTTAGAAATTGATTTGCATTTCAGTGAGTTACATTGAGGGGCAAATGGACGGAGCCATGTACTGTAAAAATCTTGGACGAGAACCTCCTTCCCTCAGCCAGAACACTGAAGATGGGTCACGGATGGGTCTTCCAGCATGACAATGACCCGAAACATACCGCCAAGGCAACAAAGGAGTGGCTCAAGAAGAAGCACATTAAGGTCATGGAGTGGCCTAGCCAGTCTCCAGAGCTCAATCCTATAGAAAATCTGTGGAGGGAGCTGAAACTTTGAGTTGACAAATGACAGTCAAGAAACCTTAAGGATTTAGAGAGGATCTGTAAAGAGGAGTGGATCAAAATCCCTACTGAGATGTGTGCAAACCTGATGACCAGCTACAAAAAACATCTTACCTCTGTTCTCGCAAACAAGGGTTTCTGCACTAAGTACTAAGTCATGTTTTGCTTGGGGATCAAATACTTATTTCACTCACTGAAATCCAAATCAATTTCTAACCTTTATATAATGTGTTTTTTCTGGATTTTTTGGTTGGTATTCTGTCTCTATACGTTAAAATAAACCAACCGTAAAAATTACAGACCCTTAATTTCTTTGTAAGTGGGCAAACGTACAAAATCAGCAGGGGATCAAATAAATATTTTCCCCACTGTATGTGTACACAGTCCCAGTTTCATTCCCAGAATGCAGCTGATCTCCAGGCCAGAGCTTGATGGCATGAGAGGGAACCAGACTGAAGAATGGGAACAGAGTTCATTCTCCTCTCACAGATCTGCCCCTCTCCCGGGATGCGGAGAGTCCCAGGCAGACAGTTAGCTGCGCTCATCATCTGCTGGATGGGTGAGACTGTGTGGCCATGATGATGTGCGACGGTCTGCCGCTCTCCCCCCGCTGGCTGCCCATCCCCGCCAGCACTGACATGGCCACCGCCTCGGCCGCGGCGCGGGAGCTCAGACCGTTGGGCCCTACTGCAGATGAGGGGCTGGGGACCAGAGAGCTGTGCTGAATGACCGGTGCCGGGGAGCCCGTGGGCTCAGATGTCTCTTTCATGTGCTCCTCTCCTGAGAGACATAAAAAAATGAAGGTTTGATCCTGCAGATGCAAGTGAAAGACCTCAATGTGAGCTCCACTCACCCAAGTAGACAGCTTTCTTCTGGCGGTTGGTGACGGGACAGTCTTTATGGGCTAACAGCAACTGCTTTAGATGAGCAACTTCATTTCGTAGATGAGACACCTCGTTCTTGTACAGATACAAATACAGGAAAAAAAAGGTGTGATCATCACACTTGGACAAAAACTAGCTGACAACAAAATACTTGCAAACACATTTGTATCTACTAAATTTCAAAGTACAATGCCAAACCATCAATGCACACAACAAAACCAATGAAGAAAAAAAAACATAACAGTACACATGATAAAAATAAAAAATAAAATAAGGCCAGTAATGGTAAAACAATTTAATAAATAAATACATACATACATTTTTTTAATAAAAATAAGGGCAATAATTGTAAAAATGTATGTAAAATAATTTTATTTAAATGTAAAATAAACAAAAATAAAAAAACAAAATGAAATAAAATAAAATAAAAACAAACAAATACATAAATTAAAAGTATATATTAAAATGTTTTATTCTTATAATAAATTATTATTACAAATATGGTTATTATTAATAGTGTCAATGATAAAGTCAATTTCAAATAATGGCAATACTTGTAATAAAATAAATTATCTAGTCTCAGGCTATGTTTGGAATGAGATACTAGCAATACTGCAGTATATGTAAAGATATTAATAACCAGTATGTGAAACAGTATGCAGTATGTTTGCAATAAAGTTAAACATTTCAGAGCATGTTATGCGACATGTTTGTTACATGATCTTGTAACATTACATATTTACATCTTGGTGAGTGACATCCAGTTATGTGGGAAATAAATAGCCTTTTTTGCCATCTTTTGTGCAATTTTGCGCAAACAAAATCTATCTTAACTTTTGCCACACAAAAGTAACATAACATCACAGTTTACATTGCTTTTGGTTCAATCTTGACTCTTTAGATAGAAATTATGGACAAATGCACTGCATCATGGGATACAGAATCCCACACAGTATGCTCCGATTGCATAAAATCTGGGTTTTCCATGCACTGCATACAAAAATTTACATACTGTCAAAATTTTGAAAGACACAGAGGAACCACGTCACACATTTCTCAAGATGTTATAAGCAATATATCAGTGCTCATTCACATTTTAGATGAAAAAAAGTCAGAAAATCTTTCGCACACACTAACCGACAGCGAGACGTTGAAGGAGGTGAGTTCTTCAGCCTTCTTCTCCAGAGAGTTGACCCATATCTTGCGTTTCTGTCTGCAACGAGAAGCTGCTGCCCGGTTCCGCTCCAGGAAGCGCTGCCTCCTCTCATCAGGGTCATCATCAGTCGTCCTCCGCCTGCGACCTCCGGTGGGCTGAGCGGGTGACACCTGAACACAGCAGGGCAGAGTAAACAAGGATGTTTACTGCGCAATGCCACAGCAAAGTGAAAGATTGCTCCCTGACAAACATGAAGGCATCTGTTCAGGCATCTGTTGTATATTTAATGTTTGCACTCGACAATTCGAGTGTAAAAACACGCGATACCTGTGGCTGAGCAGGGGATGGGGCATCTGGATGCTGGACCAGCAGCTGGCTTTGCTCCACCCTCTGAGGGACCATCGCACTGGACCCCATCGCCACACCAAGACAACCCTGAGCCACGGGCATCTGCTGAGATAATGCTGCCTTCAACCTCTGGGAATAACAACAAATACACCATGGTAATGTGGCACAGATTGGCATTCTGAAGTCATTTCATAAAACTGAACCGTAACTCAGAGAGAGAAATCATGTGACCGAAAGGAAATAAACGTGTGAACTTCTGCATATTATTATTTCTATGGGTCGGGATGGTCATCTAGATTTAACTTATGACTTAAGCAAACATCTCGTAAGAAACCAAGAAATGTACTGCTATTTATTAATAATAAAGAAAACATAAACATAGCAATTTTTCTAGTGTTATTTTAGTATTATTTATTAATAATCTGAATTAGCTATTATAAATGACTATTATATATTACTAAATGAGCCAAACTATACAGACTGACTAGTCGTTAAACCACCCACAAACTACTCTATTATGAAAATAGGCATTTTTTGCATATGCCTGTATAATAAGTGTATTTGAAATACAGACTGTTAATTACAGAGCTGCTTTGTCCGAACAGCCTGTGTTTGTTTGTTGTGAAAACTATCACCCATGTGATGTGCTGGATAAAGACTTTCAACATGGGAACACTAAGAGAAAGCTATGCATCCGAGCATTCAGCAAAATGATCCACAGGCTGGATTAGGAAGAAAACAGATTTGCCCTCACCATCTTTGCCTCATTGTGGGGGTTATAACCAGAGGGTGAAGACGAGCCGCTGCTGCTGCCCCCTAGTGGAGGGCCGGGTATTCCTGGAATGTTGGGCACCATACACAGGGGCCTCGCCAGCTACACCACAGGGACAAAATGCAAAACATATCATGAGGCAAATTATGAATGACTCCAAAGATCAGAAATAACTGCTCACATGAACACCATTTTAAAAGAGAAGTGGGTCATTTTTTTGCTACAAGTGACACTGCTGAAACAAGGGGGCGTTGTATGACATTTAACATTGGAAAAATATTACACACTTTGCCTTTAAAATTGAATCACAGAATAGTCCCTTTAAGGTAAGTCACGAGAATCTATTTTCTAAGTAATGGGTACTCAAGTTCAGCTCCGGTCTACTTGAATGTGATTGAAGGACTGAAATCGCCAACTGTTTGTCAGGATTACATTTCAATAATATATTTCAAATCAACAAAGTTTGCTTCTTTAAGTCAAATTATGCTAATACAAGGCATTTTACAGACTCCTTGATGCAAAGATGATACAAAGGACCTCTTCCACAAATTATAAAGGCTGATATATACTGTGTGAGAAAAAATGGTGTGATGAAAAGACAAACTTTTGTTTAAAAATTAAATAATTAATAATATTGTTAAAATTATTTAAATATTAAAATAAATTATTTAAATATTATCTGGAAAATATTAGTATTTATTTAAAAAAATCTAAATAATTTTAGTTACTGTGAAGTTTTCCTAAGTCTTATTTTAGTATTATTTATATACTATTATATTAGTTATTAATATATTTAGAATTTATTTTTAAATTTCCAGTTTTCATTTAAATTTTAGTTTTAGTAAATTTGTTTTGTGCTTTGTCATTTTATCAGTTCTATTTAGTGTTATATTCTATTTAGCTTTATTTTTATTAAAATAAAAAACTAATTTTGTTTTATTTCTAGGAAATCTTGGTACTTTAACTAAAAGTTATTTTATTTCAGTTAGTCACCAAGAGAACATTTCAAGGCAACAGTTCTTTAAGTATTTTTTCGTGTAATATTTATATTTGGCTTGATTTCAGCTTTATTCAATTTTTAAAAAAAATGTAATAGCTTTAGTTTTAACTAACAATAACAATGAATTTTCCACAGACCTCCCAGTACCACCTTGCAGACCCCAGTTTGAAAATCAGTTTTACAGTAAACAAAAAGTCGACTGTCACAAACTCTTCCATTCTTTTTCCTTTGAGTGGGCCATCTCTTTGTACTCCATATATTAATATTCCATACTCAGAGATACACTTCACACTTACAGATATTACAGAGGGCATCTGCATAGGGCCTGGAAGAACAGGAACTGTTTGACCATTGGGAAGCATCATCATTGGGTACGGCACTGTGGGAGATCTAAAACAGAAGTAGAGAAATTTCCAGTTTGCACAAGCAGCAATAGCAGAAAGCAATGCACAGACTGAAATTCTGCTCTCTTCCTGTCCACTACCTGACCAAACATTCGTTGAACGTCAAGTATAGCATAAATGAGCCAGCTTCCCACGGTTTCCTAAGAATTACTACAACACCAACTTATAGCAGCACAGTGAGTCATATAGAAATGAGTCACAGAGAATAAGCTGACGGCCCAAAACAACGGCTCCACAGTGATAGGCTGTGGTTGTACTCTTACCCCAGTGTGCGGTTGGATGGTGGGGTGTGTGTGATGACAGAGGTAGGGGAGGGCATGGTGGGCTGCAGGCCGTCATAACCCAGGTGCAGTGGGAGGTAGCCAGGACGCACTATGGCAGGGGTGGGAGCCGAACTGACGGCAGGCTTTGAAGGAGAATACTGTAAGAAAGATAATCAGCCAGCTAAGCACAAAATAATTCAAAAATCAACACTGGTTGCATCCAGTCATCCAGTCACGACTGTTTGTTTAGTGATGCAACACATCTAGTTCAGTTACTGCTAAATACGTAGTTTAGTGAAATGGTACAATTATGGTCTCTACAGTGGCCACTTTGAATGTGTGCTAGCATACCTTACAATTATCCATTTTATCTATTTTATATTCTAAGTATTCTACAAAAAGTCTTCAGATCACTAGTGATAATGCTTAAATTTTTAATTTTTTTAATTTTTATTTTTTTTATTTATTGTATTTTAATTAATTAAATAAATAAATTATTTGGATAATTTAATAAATGCTTGAAAATAATCATTACAAAATCATGTATAATAATTTTCCATTCATTATTAATTAACTATTAAATGAAATAAATTATTTTAACTTGTTTTATAATTATTTTTTATTACAAATGATAATTTTAACATACCAATAGAAGCAAAAAGCTCAATGTAAAAATGTATATGAATTTCATAATGTCTTAGTATTTGATTTGTCCTCCTTTTGCAGAACTCAAGCTCTGGTTATAAAAACCTGATTATCATGTTCTCCATGATTTGAGAATGATCTAAAGAGTATCTTGTGCTTCAGTGGAAGTACATCTGACTGTCTGTACAAAAAGTCACACGATCAATGTCAGAATCATGTTTCAAAATCCTAACATTTTAGGTATTAGGTATTTTTAGTATTTGGTTTTGCTCTAGCAGTCTGGTTTGCATAAAGCATGTACCTTTCCTCTGCTTAAGGCCTCTTTGCTGCTATCTGACATGCTGGAGATGGAGTCAGGGCTGGTAGGCGGAGAGGAGTCCACCTCCACGGGGTCCTCCTCTTTCACCTTAATGTCTGAAGGCGTTTGCAAACTCATATCAAGTGCTCCTGAATTAGGAGCAGGCAACTACATGGAAAACAAGAAAGACAAATGAAGAATGTGACAGACAGAGAGAGAGAGAGACGAGACGGTGCTACACATGAGAACTGATAGGGAACTCTGCAGTCCATAAATCTGAGTTTCTGGCAGCAGGCAGCCCGAGCTCCTCATGTTTGGAGCACGTCTGACTGTTTGACTGAATCCCTCCACCCAGTCCCATAGCTCACCGGGTTCTTGGCCCTCTTGTCCTCATCTTCCTGGGCCTTAGGGAACTCCTGCTCGAACGTGCTTGCCAGCTCATTGAACAAGCCCACCTCTTCACAGTTTTTCAGGAAACGAGTGGGAGTCGGCGTCTGGTCTGGAGTAGAGGGCGAGAAACAGAGAGATCTCATTGTTTCCTTATGCAAGACGGCCCCAAGGACAATATAAACTGTGCCACGCAGCTAAACGGCTGTACCAGTACAAAGCAAATCTGCTTGCGATTTAACATGATAAATCTTGGAGAGTCCAAGTCTGTTATTACATTTGTGTTTTTTCCCAAGGGTTTAATGTGACAAAAAAACATCATGTTGTGAATTGTCCCCCTTAAAATTACTACCTTAAGGGTACTTCACTTCACTCCACAGCTATAAAGTAATGATATCGAATTACACTGTTAAATCTCTGTACTATTTGTTTTGTCAGTGCCATTGAAACAAGCATTCCAGGTTACCATTACCCACAAAAGAAGTGACAAAAAACATGGACATAAATATGGGGATGGATGCTAGGGACATGCACCTACCAAAGACAAATTAAAGGGGTCATATGATGTTGCTAAAAAGAACATTATTTTGTGTATTTGGTGTAATGAAATGTGTTTATGCGGTTTAAGGTTAAAAAAACAATTATTTTCCACATACTGTACATTATTGTTTCTCCTCTATGCCCCGCGTTCTGAAACGCGTAGTTTTTTTACAAAGCTCATCGGTCTGAAAAGCAAGGTGGGCTGTGATTGGCCAGCTATCCAGTGCGTTGTGATTGGCCGAATACCTCAAGCACATGACGGAAATGTTACGCCCCTTACCATATTGTGATGCCCTGTCCGGCCGGAGCGACGAGACAAAAACATTAAAACCCATTATAAACGAGGCATTTGTGGCATCCAGTGGGGACATAATTACGGATTATAATGACTTAAGCCTCGTACACACTGGGACGATTATCGCGCACGCTTATCGCTGACGTTTTTTGACGCGTCTTTTGTGTTCATTTTGTGTCAATTTCTCTCCATAACAGCTCCCTCTTATCGAGATTTTTGTAGTCGCTGTCGCGTTTGTCATAAAGCTCTTTGTGTTCAGACACCAATGAGACCAGCAGCTCTATCGCACGCGATATTCGTCCCGGTGTGAACAAGCCTTTATACTGTCTTTTTACGAGTTGCGCTGCATCGCGCCGCGTAAACATAAAACCATGTCTGCATTTGTGATCGGAGAAATGACAAACAACAAGCGCTACTCTACACTGCTCAAAACTCGCGTTTGAATGGAAGGACAAACAAAGTAGTTTTGCTTTCACAATGAAACACACGGCGGGCTAGCGTGAGCGGCGGCCGGAGGCCTAGAGTGAGCGGAGGCCAGCTTAAGTGAGCGGAGGCATGTGGGGGCATGTTAGAACGAGCTGTTTTAGGTAGGCGTGGTTGTCTTCATATAATGGACTTAAATAGTGGCCAGTGGGCTGAAGGTCCAAATTGCAGTTTCAATGCAGCTTCAAAGGGCTCTACACGATCCCAGCCGAGGAATAGGGCTCTTATCTAGTGAAACAATCGGTCATTTTCTTAAAAAAATTTAAATGTATATACTTTTTAACCACAGATGCTCGTCTTGCACTATCTCGACCACACGCATTACGTAGTCACGTTGGAAAGGTCACGTGTGACGTAGGAGGAAGTACCGACCCAGCGTTTACAAAGCGAACATGCAAAGAAAGCCCAACGCCCTTTACAAAAACAATGATGTCGGACGATTTTGAAGTTGGAGGAGAAAATGAGATGGAGTTTTTCACCCTACCCTAACTTTTTGAACCGGAGTACGCAGACGAAGTGTTAACCGTGCGTGACCTTTCCAACATGATTACGTAATGCGTGAATTTGCGGACGCACATCGTGGAGCTAGTGCAAGACGAGCATTTGTGCTTAAAAAGTATTTTTATTTTTATTTTTTTAAGAAAATGACCGATCGTTTCACTAGATAAGAGCCCTATTCCTCAGCTGGGATCATGTAGAGCCCTTTGAAGCTGCATTGAAACTGCAATTTGGACCTTCAGCCCATTGGCCACCATTTAAGTCTATTATATGGAGAAAAATCCTG